CGGAGATATGATTGTTTCTCTTGTAAATTACGACCCAGTTATATGAAGAACTGTGGTGGTTATACCTTATGGAAATATAAAAGGATTATACTAGAAAATTTCGAATTTGTAATTTATTATTTTTATTTAAGTTAATAAAAATAACTTATAATAAAAAATAAAATAAATATTAATATAAATAAACCGAAAATTTGCTTTGTTGTTCTTTTGAAGGATTAATAAATGTTAATATAATAACACTGAATATATTATAACACAGAATTTTTACAGAAACTGTTTATGCAATTCTTCTTCCGCTTTTTAGTGCTATTAGCTGCCATTTAGCTGCTATTTAACATTGAAAATTTGTGTACAACGGTTTTTTACAAAAGTTTGTGAAATTTTATCTCGTTTTTATCTCGTTTTTTTAATATATAACTTTTAGTGCTGGCTGTTATTTGATATTATACATGATTTTAGAATTATAGTAAGTGCTTTTATTTTATGGTATATTCTTTTATCCATTTTTTTCATTAGAATGTGATTGTTCCTTTTTTTCTCGTTTTTAGCAAAGTTATCAAGTTGGCTATTGTTTATTCTCATTTATATATAAATGGATTTTAATTTTTTTGTGAATTACTCATATTTTATAATAAATATTAATTAATTTATAATCAACCTAATTTTAGGACGCTTTTTGTTGTATTTCGTTGAAATATAATAATATTTAAAAGACATTTTCAGTAGTAGGCATAATTGCTTAAATAAATGGAGTCGATAATTGTTATAATTTTTTGTGTTTCCTACAACCGTGTTTTAGAATATTCTTTCGATTACTTTCTTTAATATATTTTCTAAAAAATTTTTATATTTACATTAAATGCAGAAAAATCACGTAAAATCCAAAGTTTAACTGATAAGAGTACGCCACAAAATTCAGAAGGTGTAGAGTTTTGGAAAGCTTGTTATTTAGATTTGAAAGAGAAATTTCAATACCTAGAGAAAGCCCTTGATAATCGAGTAGAACGTGAAAAAAGGGCTCTGAAAAAAGTTGAAGAGACATTATATGTGGTTGATAGTGCTCTCACCGAGAAAGAGGCAGCAATTCAACGGGAGCAGGTAGTCAAAGAAGAATGTGAACATTTAGCGTCAACTATTGGTCAAGTAATGGATGAAGCATCAAAAAAAGTGGATGAAGATATGTTATCGGAAAAAAGAAAATATGAACTCAAGGAAAAGGAGCTTAAATGCATTAAAGAGAAGGTAAAAATTTGCATTCAGTTTTGTTCTTTTTATTCTGCAAAATGTTTTTTTTTAGCTTAGCGATAATTGCAAAAATCAAGCAAAATACAATCAAATTCTCCAAGCACGTTGTAATAGATTTGAAAAAAAATACCAAGATGCGATTTCAGAAACGACGAGACTAACAAATGAATTATCCACAGCTGCCAGAATATTAGTAAGTTGGTTTAGGAAGAATATAATATATTGTTTTACTTAAATTTTGGTGATGTTAGAAGAATATTTATATGAATTCACATTAATACAAAAATTATTTTATTCATTGTTAGCTAATAGAAACAACACTAGTCAAGAATATTTCTATCCATAATAAATTTAATTAATTCAAAATTTTCAGGATGAACTTGAAGCCAAAATAATAGAACGTGATAATGTAATTTTAGAAGGCAAAAAAACAAAAAGGTATATTTTGTTTAAATTACAATTAATTTTTATTTATAATAATATTTATTTTAGTATGCTTATATATATTTCAATTCATATATTTTTTAAAATTTAATTCTTTTTTATGAAATTTCTAACTATTATTTTGTGACAGAATCGTTGAAGAACACGAAGAAACAATAAAAAAATATATGGAAAGGCATAAAAGTCTTAATGATAAGTATGATAGCTAAATTTTAGATCTTGTTTATACCACAATTTTTTTTTATTTTTTATTTATAGATACAAATCGATTATAGCGGACATGTCAATAAAGTTTGAAGACGAAGTTAATAAACTACAGAAGCAAAATGCACAATTGCAAAAAAAACTGCAACAATTTCTGTGCGATGAAAATAGATAATAAAGCGTTGTTATCATAGTTAAATCTTTAAAATATGATTAAATTTAGTTTTATTTTATTGTTATTTTGCAAATTAATACATACTAAAAATTAAACACTCTATTTTATAATTATATAAATGATAACATATACAAAATATATTTCTTTGTAAAATTTATTCTATTTATGTTTGGACTTAAAACTTATTTTAAGCAGTTTGCGCTGTTCTACCAGGAAATAAACTTGGAAACCAATAACTTGTTTCAGTATCTTGTGTATCAATCCAACACATACCTTCACCTACAACTTTCTCTAGTGATTGTTTTGCACGAAATTCGCTCCAACTAAATTGAAAGATATATAGAAAAAACTGCAAATTTCTTCTCTCATAATTTATATTATAATTTCATACCCTAATTGTTCAACTAGCATACTCTCTGTAATGCAGCCTTGTTCTGTATTAGACGCATTTGTAAGTATGGTTGTCTCCTCCATACTTAGTTCACCTGGTATTGACTGAACCATGTACTTTCCTTTACCAACCTTATGCACTACAAATCTAAATGAAAAATAGATATATTAAAAATTGAGAACTAAGAAAAAATTGTGAAATTAATTAAATAAAAATGTTTAGACGGAACTTTATATCCAAATAATATATACAAATTAAATTTTATAATATACTTTCCAAACAAAGCTGTACATACTAAACCTTTCCTGACTCTTTCTCTGGGATAGGATAATATAATAAAATCTACAATATAGTATAATCTACAATATAGTATAATTGACAAAATAATAAATACAAAATAATTCTTTTGAAATGCTTACTGGACAGCAAACTTAATCTATTTAACTTTTAAGCACATACAAATTCAACCGCAATAAACTTAAGATTCCTCAATATCGAAGTGACAAGATTTCTTTACCTTGACATCGGTTAATTTTCACTTCCCCCCAAAACTTATTTCCCATTACTTAGTCATAGTTTAAAATTGAAGTTATATACTAATCATCAATTTTAATTCGATTTTAAATTATATTTAGCCCAAGTTCTTAATAAATAAACAAAATTTCAATTAAAAGTTTTTTAGCATACCCATTTCCAAAAATACTAAGTTTCTTTGCTGCTATTAATATATCTTCATCAGTAATTTCTTGATGTGTAACGCTTTGGCCACGAGCTGATATCAATCGTCTACGTAATTCATTGAGTTCCATAAGTCCACCTTTAATCAAATCAAAAACAGAAATTTTATAAATTTACTTAGTAATACGACGATAACTCACCTGTTTTATGATTAGCTGCTAAACACACTTCTACCACCTGCACACCCAACTCATAATAGAAATCACCCATGCCCAAAACACTCCAAAATCCTTTACCAGTAGCCAACGGATCGACACCAATCGCTGCACACATATCTTGGAATTGTTTACGGAACTGTGCATTTTTTCGTATATCCTGTTTATGTTTCATAGCAAATTCTTCCAATTTTACTTTAAATACTTCCATTTGTTTAGTCATTTGCTCCAATTGCGACTCCTGCAAATCAGTGCCCTTATCCTTATATTTTTCAGCAGCCAACTGCTGTTGTTGTATAGCACCTAATCCCGCACGACGACGCATATTTTCGGACACTTAATATTTAAGTCACACTTGATTACAAAATTAGGAACAATTTTAACTTCAATTTTATTTATTAAGCATTTTTAACAGAAATTACTTTACAATGTGAAGCACAGTCCGAAACAAAGTTTTAATAAAATTCGCCGCAAACAGAAAAGAACATATGTTATTCTTGTGCGCCACGGCAATATCGACGTTAAATTCAAAATGAAATTTAAGCCTATTTCGCCGGAAAATATATTTTTAATATTTAATTTTTTAAAATTAATATATCTATTCATCTATACATTTCTACATATATATAAAAATGAAATTGTTTTATATATATTTCTACAAAACTTATATACTCTAAGGCCGATTTTGTTGAAAATAAAATATTACTGGGACAAAGAAATCGAATATATTCAATATTTAGAAAAAGAACAAAAAGTTTTGTAAAGTGGAAATAATATTTATATGTTTAAAATATGTTTAAAAAATATTTGAAAAAATGGTAATATTAATGTGTACAATCAAAAGTTAGGTATTCTATATTAAATTTATTTATTAACTTATTTGGCCATAACAACCCGTTTTTGAATTTTGGCCTGACGTAGCACTTCTATTCAGGCACCTTTGCTGCATACACGCTGTCTGCAATGTCGTAGTGCTCCCTCAACTTGATCACTCCATCGGAAACATGGCGTACGATTTCTCAAAAGCATTAATGCTATGTAAAGAAACAGGTTTATCGGTCGAAAATGAACTCTATATTTAAAATGTTAATAAAGCTCTAAGTAGCACCCATTCGTAATGGTTATTTCTTTGATTTCCAAGCTGACATCCTTGTTGTAAGTCATGTTATAAGATAGATAAGAATCTCGTAAGACTCGAAAGTATAATCGCCAGCAAACATTTGACATTTGCCAACATATGCTTTGTGTCTTTATTTCTTTATTTTCTTCTTTAAGACTTGTGGCAGTCTACATATATTATCAATAGTGGAAGGACGATTCCAATGATTCCAATTTCTGAGCATGCTTTCGTCCAACCATATTCTGCAGATAAATCGATGCATATTCCCTATCGACATATTCGCTTGGCTTTTTGTTGTTTTTTAGTCGGTGTAAAACAACATGGACTTTGTTATGGCTAGCTGATGGAATTTCGTCACCATCATTTTCGATTTGGTACTACGATTACATTTCTCCAGCGGCAAGACTAATGTTATAATCTTCAAATAAGCTTCGAGTAATGTTTCTTCCATATTTTCACTAAAATACTTATACTCGTAACCAAATATCCTCTCAAGTTAATGCTTCACTCCTTATCGTATCATTGGTTTTCCATTGAGAGAAACGTTGAAAAACAAAGATATCTTCCGCAGTAACATATGTGAATTGAGAAATAGCTTCCCTTTGTCTTCCGGTATTATCGATCATTTAGACAATTGAGCGTCGAATGCTTTGAGTGCTCCTATGTATAGAAATGTGAGTTGTTGGCGGTTAAACTTCGAAGTTGATGCTTGAACCACAAAACGAGCTTACGTCTCGCACACTTAAAGCTTGTTTTATTTCAATCACGAATTTATTAATCTGTTGTCGTACCTATTAATCAAGGAGAGAGGGAATTGAATATCGCGATAGAGGAATCTAGTGTAGCATATTACCATATTTCATGCATCAACAAAATTAATCAGTCTTAGACTATTACTATTATCTACCGTTGGTCCAAAAATTTCTTCTATTCCGATTTATGTGATTTAGCGAGAACAATTTTAATATATCGTCAGGTTAGCGATCATATTACTTATTATTTTATTTTTAATGTATATAATGTATATTAAGATTATTTAATAAACTGTTTCATAAAAACTATTCAATTATCAATTTAATCTGGTAAAAATAATTAAGCTTCAATGTATTATTATTATGGTATCTACGGTACATTGTAATGAACTACAATTTGAAATGTTTCAACTCGAGAAGAAGGTTGTAAAACATGTAAATATAAGAATATTTTGTAAAAATACTAACCACAAAAATTGTATTCCTAATGTAATGTTAAAACAATAGTAAATTAATACTTTTTTATATAATTTTGACAATTGTGTTTACTAGAACTAAGTTTTTAATCTTTAGCTTTAATTAATATCCGAACCATTTAGTGCCCTGCGCTATTGCTATGGTTTGATTTTTGTGCCGAAATCCTTAAATTGTATCAAAAGCCAATAATTAAAAATATATGTGGTATTTTTGAATTTATTTATTCTTCAACGATAAAACCACAAACAATGCTAAATATTACTATTAAATAATAAATTAAATTTTATTGTTTGTATATTAATATAAACTTTCTAAAGTATAATTTTCAGATCTAAAAATAGAGATTCTCTACAAGAATCATAAAGTTACATTTTACAAGATATTTTTTTAAATTTATTTGCTCACTATTCTGAAAATTATATATTACTTGTACCATATCAAAAAATAGTTTTCCTGACTCACTGATACAAACCTTGTACAATACTAGGGAACATCAATTTAATCAATTTCTTGTCATTCATGTCATTTGCATTACAAAGGTAAAATGTTATACAAAAAACATTAAAAAGATATTAGCTATCTTTAACTGTAAATGGGAAAAAGAATTGCTATAAATTCAGTAGCATTTTCAAGAACTTATAAGTTTTCCATGACACACGTAAAACACAACTCATTAACGATGAGATACTTTATTGGTGAAACTATTACAGATTTTCAAGAGTTTTTACTGATATCTCTGTATAAATTTCAGGTTTATGGCTAGCACTCATTTTTGTGGCATTTGTTAACTGCCAGTCTTCCATTCTTGGCGATGGAAAACCGGACTGTACAACTGCTGAAGAAATAACAACTCGCATTTTCCGCAATACTTGGGATCCAACTGCATACTGGAGTTGTTCTGAATTAAACGTGCCAGCAACGTTAGTACGATGTCCCGACCAAACAGCATTCCTTAGTAGTCGTAAAGAATGCGTACCATGGAGTGATTGGAAATGGGAGAGTACAGACCAGCAATAACAGACAAAGAAAACGTTAAAGAAAATATATCCTAAATTGCTCTTAAAAATGTATCTTTAAATGCAATGATGCATATAAAATTTTAAATAAATTATCTACATTGTTCTCGCAATTTTGGGCCCAAAGTTATTATAAAGTCAAGAGCTATATAAAAATGTAAATGAATGCAAAATAAATAATTTATATAACAATAATATATTTGTACACATTCTTGTTCCTTAATTTTTCTTCTTACTATACTAGAAGAAGTAGTATTGTTAAAAAAGACTTATACTTAATTTTTTGATAAAAATCTTGTGAATTACAAATTAATCTGTTCAATTATTTCATTTTTTAGTCATGGGCACGAATATGTGACTCGAAATCCATTGAAAAGCTATTAAGCTGTTAAGTTACAAGATACATAAGTAGGAAAATATTTGCGAAAATAGTTAGTAGCATTTTTAAATGCATTAAAGTTTTATTTAACGTGAGGTAAAAATTATTAACAAAAAAGATGATGACTTTTGCTGGAAGGATAATCAGACTTAGAACTTTTTACAAAACTTACTCAAAAAATTTTCTTGTGGATTTGTGGTTAATACTTGCTTTAGTTTCTCTTGCTAGCAGTGGATTTTCACCACCAATTTCAAGTGGAAACCGTTACCAACTTAAAAAACCTGTGCCAGGACAAGTTTGTAATCAAAATCCAAATTATTACCAAAATCCTAATCAAAAACCAATACAAGTTGTATATCAAAAACAAATTAGAAAAGTAGATTGTAATGAAAATCCAAATCCATATTATAACCAGCAACCAAAACAAAAAGTAATACCAATTGTATATCAAAAACAAATACCAATAGTATACCAAAAACGAATTAGAAAAATAGATTGTAAACAAGCCCCAAATCCAAATTATAACCAAAAACCAATACAAATTGTATACCAAAAACCAATTAGAAAAATTGATTGTAATCAAGCCCCAAATCCGAATTATAACCAAAAACCCAATCGAAAGCCAATACAAATTGTATATCAAAAACAAATTAGAAAAAAAAAATGTTAAAAAAAACCCAAATCCAAATAAACATCAAAAACAACAAACAAACTATAATAAAAAATCACATAAAAAAATAAAACCTAAAAGCATTTAGAAGCCAACAATACTACCAAAGACCAATCCAAAAACTAAACCGAAAAAAAAACAATTCAAACGACAATATTAAAAACAAAATCAAAATCATATATGGAACCAAAATTCGAATGCAAAACGTGACCAAAAACCTAACCAAGTAGCAGTCCAAAATACAAAGGAACGACAAAATTAAAAGATGTGCCAAAAACCTATCCAAATACAGAACTAAGTTAAACTGTATCAGAAAATAATTTTAATATAATAATAAATATGAATAAATATTTTCAAACTAAAAAAATTAATTTAATATTTTATTTTTACAACAATTGCGGATTTATGATTAACTAATCGTACAACTAAATCGAAGATGTTCTAAATCCAATAGGTGTTCTTTCTCTAAGCAGCATATTTCATACCAATAGTAAGTGATTATGTGTTCTTTTGTGTCAAAAAGAATTAATTAATAAAACATAAATTACGGCACTATTTTATTTTCTAATATATAAGATAGATGCACATTCTCTTTCTACTATCACACAATGATATATATTGCTAACTACTATTTTAGCGACCTATTTAACTTATATGGAAATGTAAGTTTATACACGTTGTGAACTGTCCTCATTTTTGTTTTTCGACAGACCTGAATAGTCTGCCACCGGGACTATTAACGACTCTAACTTCTTCCTGTCAAACTCCCCATCCAATTTTACCTCTGGCTTTAAACATTATAAACGGACCTCTACTTGCAGCAGGAAGTAAGTTGAGCCTTAATGCACCAAAAAGCGTTATGATTTTGCTTTGATATAATTGATTTTTATATTAAATCAAATCACTATTCTTAACGAAAATTCATTTAGTTAACATAGTTAATACTCGTGTAATCTCAAACTTGTCGTCAAATGAAACTACTAGAATGAATCACCCCCTTAACTCAATTAAAATTTTTTGACATACATGTTTTTATACAGATCCAAAATTTTATCTGGTCTTAATAGTCATCGCCCTACCAAAATCCAGTTTCAACTGCAAGTAGTTCCTAATTGTAATACCTATTCCCATAAACCAACCATCACACCCTTACTTCTCATTTAATTTTCTCTTACCACATACTATCTAACGTTTTTAATATGGCCAAACAAATTTGTAGTTACAATAGATCTATATATATTACAATAGTGCAGGCCTCGTACAACTGTGTTACCTCATTTGAATATAATATAACAAATGCTTGAGTACTGATGACGACCCCGATTATTATTTTAATTACTATTTTCCATTACCTAAGCTGATTATCCGAATTATTCTCTTATTCTGTAAAGACTTAATTTACAGATATTGTCTCATAAAAATCATAGGAAATGTCGGGTCATTACAAACGCTATATATCACTAAATTCTTTACATTTATTAGACTGTTGAGAGCTCAAATTTGCAACAACCTTTTCATCTAGACATTTGGGTCTCTTGAAAGAGCAACAATATAAGATTTTTTATTTTAACAGATAACATACGAAGAATTTTGTGTTTTTAGCAAACTATTCTACGAAAAACTAGATGCTCATTTCTACTTAAGATGTTCTTTCTTTACCTTCCTCAAGATTAAGAAACTATATAATATAGAAAGACAATAACTTTTTTTTATATTTTATTTTATTTTTTATGTACTAATACATTTAGTGATCAAATTAGAATATTAAATTTAAAATGGTGTCAATAAATTGTAGTTTGATTTCTTTTAATATATAATTAATTATATGAATGAATGTTACAGTTTTAATGAGAATAATCAATATTATTTGTTTATCTCATATGGCGACACACACTTTTCGCTCATAGTAATATTAAAATTATAACTTGTTATTTTACATTACATATTTAAATATTAAAAATGTAAAGTTCAAAAAAGAATGAATTTGTTAAAATAGTTCATATATTTAATCTTCCATGCTCTCGTTTCTATCTGGTGATGCATTTCCATTTTTAGGTGAAACGGAGTGGGATCGGGAACGAGACTTGTTATCTGCAGAGACAGAGCGATCACTATAATATGGATAAAAGAGATATGATTATTCAAACTTTAAAAATTTTAACATAATTATAATAATAAATTAAAGAATGTGTTGATTGAATAGTAAAAATTAATTAGCTTTTTTTATTTAAAATATAATTAATTAAGACACATCAAAATCCAAGCAAACAAATTGTGTTCAAAAACAGTTAAGAAAGCAAAATAGAATAGAACAAATAAAATATTAAAATTTAAAAAATATACTTTAAACAATTTATTCAACATACCGTGAACGAGAATCTCTACGAGATTTTGAACGGGATCTTGATCTTGAGCGTGATTCACGTTTAGAATTTGACCGTGAACGTGAGCGGGAATCACGTTTCATTGAACGTGAGCGTGAACGAGACTTTGACTTTGATTTAGAAACCTCACGTGATTTACTAAAAAAAAAAAATTTAACAATTAAATATATATATAAAAATAATCTATAATAAATCTACTTATAATATTAATTATATATAATATAAACGATATATAATATAAAAGGTATATAATATAAACGATATATAATACAAACGACATTAAAGATATACTATAATAAACGCAAAGTAAATACGTCAACAAATTTTATTTTAGAAAATTATTCAAAATTATATTTTAGAAAAATCTATATTTTAGATTTTTTGATATTCAAAATTATATTTTAATTATAAAGTCTAATCAAAAATCTGTCGTATCAATCCTGTTCATAATAAATAATAACTTTATATATAAACCGATACACAGGACAATTTTGGCAAAGATCATTAAAAGTCTTTCGTAAGATCGACCGTAAGGTAAGATCGTTTATAAAATATAGATATTCTGGCACAAGTCTCTCAAAAAAAAGTTGTCATTTGCAGTTCGATGTGGAAAGAAAGCTGTTTTGTTCTGTTTCTTTCATGGTGAAATCAAACACAGCTGTTAATCCCTACCCCATTGCATGTAAACAACTTCATTTTAATAAAAATGTGATGAATAGCCATAAGATGTATATTTTCTGAATAATTAGCTGACAATTGAAAGATCTGATCAATAGTAGATCCTTCATTTGGTCTTTAGAAAGACGATATACAATAGCTTTTAGTCTTGTGATAAACCGCTGCCCCAATACGAAAGATCTTTTAAACGATCTTTCACAAGATGTTTGAGTGTAGTAAGCTGAAAGATCGTTGCCAGAATTGCCCTGAATTTTAACTTATTTAATATATAATGCTATATACTCAAACATCAACATTTAAACCGAGCATAACTATGTCAATATATATATATTTTGTGTTGTATAAAAACAAATACTTAGACGTTTTACTTACTTAGAACGAGAGCGCGAACGAGATTTAATTGGTGACTTTGATTTAGAACGTGCTCCACGGGACTTAGAACGGCTGCGAGACTTAGAGCGAGAACGTGAAGAACGACGAGAGCGTGAGCGAGAACGACGACGGGAACGGGATCGAGAGCGTGAACTTGATGAACGAGATCTTCCACGTCCACCTCCACCACCACCACCACTACGTCCTCCACGACGATCTTCGACCAATCGTATGCGACGACCATTCAAATCTGTATCATCTAATTTTTCAATAGCAGTTTTCATGTCCGACATTGAAGCAAACTCAACAACACTAAAAATTCAAAAAGTATATATGAGTACAGGTAATAGAAAATTGAATTTGATATCGAACTCACCCTTCATTGCGACGTTGTTTGTGAGCATCAGCATATGTAACTTCACCGGCTTGACGCATATAATCTTTAAGATCCTAAATAAATTAAATAAAAAAAAGCAACAAAAACAAAAAGAAATAATTAAATTTATATATTTATAGCAATTTGTATAAGAAAAAAACTCAATAATATGCTATTATTTAAAAAAAAAAATCGAAAAACAATATATGCATAAATATTGGCTGCATTAAAATATTAAAATCTGTTAAAACTCCGCATATGCTGCCTTTTGTCCCTGTATCCTAAAATGGTCTCTCTTGGGAGCCTCTTTGACCCTTTCAATATATTGCTGTCGCCTGTAGTACATGTGATGATATATGTGGGGCCTTAGTAAAATATTATAATCAACCTTAATATGCAGCACTAATATTTATGCATTTATTAGAATTCAATTATTTTTAAAACAATTGCATTAATTTAAATACAAATACAAATACATTTATAATGGAAAACTACAATACACAACTAAATAATTTTTGTCCTTTTATATTTAATTTTAATATATATTGAAAAGATAAATTTAAATCTTACATAATGTTGCTTATATGTTAAAATTTAACTGTCTGTCAAGTGTTTAACCCATTTGTGTGAACTGAAACTGCCACTTCCATAATGCAGATCTTTTACTAGTTTTTATTTCGTTTCCAAATATGGGGGGAAGTTCATTTGGCAATTAGGAATAGAAATCTTTTCCAGAAACACACACGAATACGAGTAGATCAAACGCATTGAACCAAAGCGTCATCGTTTTTCTAAGCCACACATCTTAAGTTAAATCGAATAAAGAACGCAAATCGCATCGATTGAAGAAGCCTTAATTAAATATTTAGACAGAGGTAGAGTTCTTATGCAAGTACGACGTGTACTTTTATGGAAAATTTGCCTGAACTTTAGCCATAGTCTCCTAGGAGCACACAATTGGGTTGGTTATCATATATGGTATATACACTGCACTCCATCATATACAGAGTAAGTTTGCATTGTATTTAAACCTATTTGGCAGTCCAACGTCACTTAAAAGCAGCACTTTTAATACTGAACGAACGGTACGTGTATTACTGGAAAAGAAAGAAAAATGTTCATGTCCTAAACATGATGCTAATTTTGTTTAGTTCCTTGCACGGACATAGCTGGTATGATGTTGACGATTTTTTTTTTGTTTCTTCTCATCATCGAAAAATAGGACAATCAGATCAGTTCGTTGGAAGTCTTAATTCGCACATCAAAAACAAGTAACCAGGGAATGTAACCAACGGCTTCATTCGCTCACCAGTTATTATAAATTAAGGGAAAGCGATGTTTGCTTATTGAGTTGCAGCCACCAGATGCGCCATCAGAAGCACAGAGAGCGCAGAGACTTTTAGCCAAAGTATTAAAACATTTGAATATGACCCTTCGTTTACTTTATGGATCACTATAAGACAATTTGACAATTCTAAAATTAATTATATAAAACATTACATTCTTAATTTACATTAATATGTACCTAATTATTTTTAATAAAGAATATAAAACTTAATGTCTGATTGTTATAAGGATTAGTTATAAAAATAAGACATATATCATTTTATAGACTTTTGTATTTCATTATTTTTAGTTTCGCCTCAAAAATTCAGCTTGACGTTGAATGTTAACATGCTTTGCTTTCGTCCATTTTGTGTTTTTGTCATTAGCGAAAGCAGCAACAAACCCTAGCATTATGATCGAGTCTCATTACTTTGGCGGCTTCTGAAGACGTGACTTGACATCTGTTGTTTTACACCAAAACTTTATGTTTGCGTTAAATATTAGTTTATCTCGTATCTTATAATTTTCTAAGAAATTTTGATTTTTTTTTTTCATTCTATATACGCAATAAAAAAGCATCACATTAGCATTATCGCATCAGATATTGGACACCAAAACCAGTTATAAGAATAAGGAAATCTCTGGCTCCACGCCACTGTACCACTGTACCACTGAGTCATGATTATTATTATGTCTGCCTTGTTAAGTGTTGCCTCAACGAGTTATTGTACCACTTTTAGACAGTCATTAAAGCCTCATCATACAACCTTTGGCGATGATGACCCCTCTAGACGCATTCATATGTGTAGAAGAAATAATGTATGGGATATTGCCAGTCATTATTTTAGTAAAATAATATAAAGAGAAATTTTAGATATTCGCTTTAACAAAACTTTTTACAGTCATATTTCATTTGTTAAAACAAAATAAAATCAAAAACCCATTAAAAAGTTAGAAAATAAAAAGAAAATTGACAATGCTCGTTTGTATATTACAATAAAGAAAGAAACTTTTGGAACAGAGGAAATTAAAGCATACATTTCGGTTAGTAGGTGGTTTTAATAGGAAAAACAAATTTCATTTAATTATTTATTTTTAATTATGTAATTATCTGTAAAATTTGAATAGACTGACTAATATTTACAGTAAATATACAATGCAGCATATCATCACTTCTCTTCAAAATGTTCGTTTTCGCAATTACACTATCGAATTCATCTTCGTTGTTATCATAATAAGCAGTCAAATAACTCTATAATGGTTGGGTGAAAGTATACTAAAGATAAAACGCTGAACTATTTTACGTGTTGTTAAAAATATTGTGAGTAACGTAGTTTTTATTCTCCAATCGTCGATAATGAAAAATATGCTGAACGTTGCAGCTTCAAAGTTACTATAGACAGTTAACGCCACAGTTTACATCTTTCTTCTTCTAAATGAAGTCCTTAAACAACCCTATTCAAATCGCATTATAAACCAAACCACTCCAAACTATCGATTTACTTATATAATATAATTGATAAACTTTACAGATAATTACACATGGATATTAAAATTTTCTTTTAATGTTTATCTAAAGTGAACTACTTATAGGTGACAAAAAAAAATTTTTTTTAAATCCTACACATGCATTATTAACATACCTGCCAGCTAACACGACTCGA